ACGATTTATAGAAAATATGGTACAGAGCCAACAAACTGAATGTGTACATATATATATATATACATTAATATTTTCGTAGTACACTTATGTATAGAATTATGGACATTTAGACATCCATATATGTATTTATAGGCATGTAAGTAAATCTTACAAAACATATGTACGAACATACGCAATTATTACAAATTTTAATTTGAAAATAAATTATCCGTTATTGGTTGCGATGACTAAGTTTTCTTTTTTCAATCAATTTCCAAATAAAATCATCATATTAGTTATGGATTTCAAATGCACTGAACACAAGCATTCAATCATCATTAATATCGATAACAATAATTATATACATATGTATATAAATATATATGTGTGAACATTTATATATATATATATAAATATATTTATACACATAGACCGCAAATGTGTGCATACATATGTATATTACGAAGGCTCGTTAAGTTCTTTGCATTTATTTTTAGTTCATATTTTTTTGCAATTTCTTTCTTTCTTTTCCGATGAGTTATCACTAATGATATTCACGTTTTCAAATCGCTTGCCTACCGCTTATTTCGGTTTTAACCATTTGTATTTGTTAACACCATCGAGAAAAAAAAAACAAACAAGCAAATAACAATTTGACGTAATTCGTTTCGTAAAGTTTCTATGTTCGTTTATTTATTTGATCTTTCAAAAATAAATATTTTTTGCGCTGCGTCTTTTCTGTTCTTCTGTGAAGGCGATTCAGAAAAGTTTGACTAATTGAATGAATTTTCCGCTTGAGAACAAAATGCTTCGTACTTAAAAATATTTAAATTTAATCATTGGGCGATCAGAGATAGACTGAATTCGAAATTTTGTCAATTGTTTCGCACTGCTTCGACAACAGCACAGCCAAAAATTTGTCTTCCAACATTTTGCTCATTTCGTTTGCATTTCTCTTTGGCTGGTTCCCCTAAAGCGCTCGCAAAGAGCACCAGCTATTATTAATTATAAGTTTGTATGTTGTTTGTATTGCAATTTATGTTTATCCATTCGTTCGCTCAGCTAAAAATTCACTGTGACGTATAAATATATATTTATTTTGTTTTATTCTTTATTACAACAACATGCATTTGTTGTAATGTCCTCAACGAGTTGTCGGTTTTTTTTCTAGTACACTTCGTTACTGTCATATTTCTCAAGTAGCAAACAGTTTAGCTAGTATTTTAATTAGTTTTGTTGTTGGTCTAGCATTTTTAATAATAATTCATATGAATGAAGTAATCGCTTTCATGAGTAATTCGCGTTTTTAGCCCGCTTTGTTGTTGTCGCTCTCTGCAATCATCGACGTTCTTATGAAGAAGCACACACTCATCGCACAGCAATGTTCTCAGACATTACCAGCTAGCGATCGCATCCAATGTATGTATGTTTGTATGTTCGTGCACGAGTATGTCGATTCTCTTCTCAACCAAGTCCAATTACATTTCAAACATTTGCTACATCTCTCTCTCTTCTCTTTATTTCCGCCATTGTGTTTGTTGCAAAAAAGGCAACAACCAATTTCAATACTCTGTATTTCGTTCGCTTAATTGAACTAGCTGTTCTACGGTCATCATCATCATCTTAGTGGTCGCCTAAAGAGAGTGCGTATATACATTAAGGTCAGACCGATTTGAAACTGCCCTCCCCCAGTGAACTTTTTAATTCAGCAGCGTCGAGGGATAAATATTAATGTGGTATCTGTCAAGTTCAAATAACGTGCCAATGGCATATTATTTATTGAACATGGTTTTGTGTTATTGAAAAAATGTTGCAAATTCTCGGAAGCCTTGGCCACCACCATACTTGTATAAACACATGGTATATTTTGTATATGGGTAGGTAATGAAATAACTACATAACTGGCCTATCCATAAAACCAATAGTCGTAACGGGAAGCACATAGCACTACAACTTAAAATAGGATTCTTACATTACTCATGTATTAGATTTAATTGTGATATGTTGTTAGTCATATCGAATTCGAATTATAAACCAATCTTATGCATATGGTGTACTATTGCGGATTCTTAGATAAAAGATTTGTATTTCTCTTTAATTAATGATTTTTTTTTTAAATAAATTACAAAATTGTACTAATTTTTGCATATTCAATCCACTTTTTAGTTTAGCCTCTTTATAACGGTAACACTTAATTATGGGTGTTTTTAGAATTACAGACAAGTTTTTCAACCAAATTTTTTCTAATATGATTTTTATATTTTACAAAAACAATTATTATATATATTATTGTATTTTTCAGATTTGAGAACCTTCTTAGATTAAATGACTTTTGACGCTATGTATTTTTATATAGAAAATAATTTTAACTAATAAGAGATGCTTGTAGGATCTGAAACCATAAGAAAATAAGTAAACTTTCCTAGATGATATCGTATATATATTATATAAATTTACTAAAAATATATATCAAGATTTAAAAAATATAGATTATAGCTTGTAGAAATAGATGACACCTTATATTTTGGATTCTCATTGGGTTGCAAATTTTCCCACCATAAAATATAAAATTCTGGCCATGTTTTAGTATAGTCCCCGTATAATGGTACCCCTCAATTTCCGTATGATATCTATGTAGAAAATTTTCAATGTAGGTCCACTGGGTATGGATGAATTTTTACTTAATATAAGCATTTAATTTCTTTTTATTTATGAGAATTTTTGAAAAATAAATTTTTAGTAATAATTAAATGGAATAAACATTATTTTGTTCATTAATAGCGAAAAGTTCCAAAAAATGCATAACTCTGTGGTCCACGTTTTGTCTCTACAAAGGTTTACATCTGTTACATTATTGTTTGCAAACTGATTTTTTCACCTTATTTTCCAAAAATCTGTATATTTTTCTGATGCTCAAATATTTGAATATTTATATTAAAGGTTATTGCTGAAGTGTTTATTTTGGTTGCTGTGGATGTTGGAAACTAGGATTCGCTATTTTTACAGTTGTCCACGCCAGTAGTACTTAGTTCATCTAATGTGCAAAACAAATTTTAAAATTTGTGGAGTAGAAAAAAATGTTGAAAAAATTCAGGCACCAAAGAACTTCTCATTGAGATGGTATCGCAGGTATCGTAAGTACTTCGATTTGTTAAAAGAGAGATTTAGGTATGAAAGGGTTTTTGTAAAGAAGCTATAAATAGCTTCTGGGGAGAATATCCCAACAAAAAACTAAGGGAACTTATGAGCATCAGTTGCGAGATCCGAAACTATAGTCTTCCCTGCCTTATCTATCCCTCGGCGGACAATGCCATACATTCCCCACTAAAACAACAAACTGGGATACAGCCTGACTATTTTGGAAAAACAAAATACAAATGGAATTCCAAATAACCCGCCAACACTACTGAAAAAAATTATTTCATGGCAATGGATGTGTAAAGTTCAGTGCATTACATTTGAAGTGACTTTTAATAGATGCTATCGAACCATGTCACCAAATAACTAGGAACAACCCGAAAATTTGATAGAGCCGAGTAAAATGATTTTATTTAGTATTTTGTATTAGAGCACGTTTAGACTACGAAATCCACTCGATCTCAAATGTCAATTCCATAGCGTATACGTCATCTTATCATGTTCCAATTAATTGTACGTATACGCTATGGAATTGTCATTTAAAATCAAGGGGATTTCGTAAATCTAACTGTACTTTTACAATCTGACCTTCTTTATTATTGAACAGCCGTAAATAAAGGACCGAAATTATAACATGGAAGATACTCAATTTTACATTTCGGAAGAAAAACATGTTTATACTTCAGATGTATGTTCTCAAAACCTGATAAAAATTTCAAAAAAGACACTTTGGGGAAATTTCGTTGATCTGAATGAAAGGGAGATAACAATTTCTGCGATATTTTTTATGAAAAATACAAATGGTTTTGTTATTATATAACAATATAGGGTAACATCAAGTGTTGTACAACAAGAAATTTGCTGTTGTAAGCTAAAGCATAAGCACAATGGATCCCTTGCGGCATCTGTCGTATTATTTGTTATCGATAACACAACAACCAAAATGGACCGAAACTATCAACGCTTGAAGTTGATGTCTGATGGTGATTCTTTTCTTCGGAGCTAAATATATTTTAATTTGTTGTGTGCAATAATCGATGGTACCCACATCCTCGTTTTCGAATTCCGACGATTCAACTTATGATGAACTTATCTTTGAGACTTGTGACTTTGCATACAAGTATTTGAATACTTAATCTGAAACCAAAAATTGCCTATTTTCAATTTCAAACCAAGATAGAAATTCCGTCGATGTATACTGTCACTGTAAACCGGCTACATATCCAGGAGTTAAATTAAATGTTCACTATAAAATTTAAATACACAGTCTTGTATAGCATCAAAGCTAACGTTGTCAAAAGTGACAACACAAACAACAAAATATTGAATAGGCGCGATATGTAATATCAAAATTGAAATTCACCGAATTTCAATAAGCATTCGCGACATACTAAAAAGCTTCACATACATATGTAGAAAATAAACGATTTTTACCAAATGCTAGCAAATGTTCTAGCTGGGATTGTATATACAACAAATAATTAACATACATGTGAACTAGCCATATACAAAATCATGACAATTGTTGTCATCTATATTTAGGTAATCTTTATTTATAGTAAATGTTGATCTTAATAAAGTATTGGAATTGGGTAATTCTTACAGCATAATATCTTTTGTTTAACATGAAAATATTGTAATATTGATGAATATTCACTTTTTAGCTGTTTCTATGTAGCTTACAGGGAAATAGGTATTTAAATATTATCAAAAAAGTTTTACATTAAATTATAAATAGGGATATGGTTGATTTTAAATTTCATAGAAACAAACAGAACGGAAATTATTCGCAAATATATGTTTAAGTAAATAGTACAATAATAACATTGATGTAAATCATTTCTAATAAAAAATGTGGTGTAATAGCAGCGAGCAAATATTTGTACCAATAAATTAAAAATATATTAAACAATTGAAATTTAGCAACATTATAGCAATAGATTACGATTATGGTTCGGTTTTACTTGGAAGGCGATGATAAGGAGCTGTTTATAGATTTATTCAACCGTTCTTCTTCTTCTTTATCCAAACCAAGCGCCATTGTTAATAGCCTCACAACGCATTTTGTTTCTTGGACCTCGCCTTTATCATTTGATGTTATATCCTTTTCTAACTTTAATTTTTCCTCTGCCACCATCAACATGCCCTCCTCGATAGTTCCCTCTGAAATTAAACGGTAAATGCTAACTGGTCTTGTTTGACCCATCCGATGACAACGATCTTCAGCTTGTTTATCATTATACGGATTAAAATCGATGTCATGGATAATACACGTGTCTGCAGCTGTTAAATTTATACCGACACCGCCAGCCTTTGTAGATAGTAGAAAAATGAAAATCTCGGAATCCGCATTGAAGTCATTAATCATATCCTGTCGTTCTTCCACGGCGGTGGAACCATCCAAGCGACAGTAGCCGTGTTTGCGAATTTCCAGATATCGTTCAACAATATCAAGCATCATAGTAAATTGACTGAATATTAGAACTCGATGACCCTCTTCTTTTAATTTCGGTAATAGGCTATCCAAATGCTTAAATTTGCCGGAATCACAAATAAGTCTATCAGGTATAATTACATCATCGAGTTCCTATAAAATAAATTAAAATATAGCTATTTTACCTCGGAAATCAATGAATAGAAAAAGTATTTTACTTACATGTTTGTTGCATAACTGCCACACTTGAAAATCGGACATAACAGCCATCTCCTCGAATATATATTGGGGGTTAGTTTTCTTGTATGTAGATACTGTGGCTAAACGTTTAGAAAACTCGCGCAATTTTTCATCACTGAAATAATATCGGCCTAAAAGCGGGTGATTGGCAAGTTTCCTCATTTCAATCATAATCGAGACACCAGCACGATCTCCGCTATAAATTTCTCCCCGATTATTTGAGTAGTAGTCGACCAAATCGTTGTAGTAACGTTTTTGGGAATCTGTCATAGCAACTTTGTTCTAAAATTAATAATTGTGAGAAAACATTTTACATGGCATTATTGAAATGTATTTTAATGTGGGATATTTGCCTAAAATCAATCAACAATATAAATATAAATTTTTGAATAGTGCCACTTTTTGCATTTAAACTTTGGACCAAAAATTTTGGGTAACACATGTTGTTGCTCTCATGTCATTTATGTATTTTCATCAATTCTTTATATCAGACTGTGATTTAAATAATATTGAGTGAATATTAAAAAAATATATATATTAAATAAATTAAAAGCAGATAATAGTATAAAGATTTTATTTTTACATATATGGCTATGTGCGATAATATATACAACTTTTTCGAATAATAAAATATATTTTTCTTTAGGCTAATGTATTTGGTACTTACAATGTATGTATACTTTTTCGGTAGATGACTAAGTACATCTTTCTTTAAACGCCTTAAAACAAAAGGTTTCATAATGCGTTTAGCTCTCTCGACCTGAGTCTCCTGAAATTGTGATAATTCTTCGTTGCCATTTTCCACTTTGCTTTTCTAAAAATATGTACAAACATTATCGCCGTAAGTTCTGTCATATTTTATACACGAATGTTGGTTGTTAGTACAACGACACTTACCTTGGCAAACAAACTCTTTATGTCTTCCACATTTTTACCAAAGAATTTTGGCATGACGAAACAGAGCAGTGACATCAATTCTAAGAGATTATTTTGTAGTGGTGTACCAGTAAGTAAAATACGCATTTCGGCATTGATCGTAATAAGATTGGCATATCGCTGCGTAGTCATGTTCTTCAACATATGCGCCTCGTCGAAGATCACATAATGAAGCTTACTAACGCGGAACATCTTTCTTTCTTCGGGTGTACTGGATACAATGTGATAACTTAAAAAAAGAGAAATTAAGTATTAATGATGTTCGAAATACGAATAGGTAAGATGAAACATTACATACGTTGTCAATAGTATATCAAAGCCAGTAAACCCCTCCTTGGCAAACCGAATTCGCATTCGCCTTCTTTCTTCTTGGGAGCCATGATATTTTTCAACAACCAAACTAGGGCACCATCTGGCTATTTCACTAGCCCAATTGTCGAGAGTGGATGAGGGTACAACGATCAAATGAGCCGCTTTAGATAGATTATTTTCTTTGAGGTATGCCAAGAAAGCTATTACTTGAATGGTCTTTCCCAAACCCATCTCGTCGGCCAGAATACCATTCATTTCCTGTTTGTTCATAACTGTTAGCCAATTTAAACCAATAAGCTGATAGTCGGCCAGTTTAAATTTTTCGTTGAGTATTTTGGGTTGTTCAACAATACCAGCGCCTGCCTCTATTGCAGATTCGAGCCTTTGAACCAGTTTGTTACACTTTGCCAATATATTTGCCACATTGTTTTGTTTGTTGATCAATTCTTGGGCATTATTTAAAAGATCGGCGGACAACGCTTTATTTGAGACCAACTTCTGTCGCAAGTCGTTCCAATCCTTGAAGGGCCTCAATTCAACAATCAAACTGGCTTTCTTTTCGGACAATGTCTTTACTGTTTGCAGTTCAATCAAAGAGGCAGTGTTCATAAATTCAAAGACTTTTTTACGCTGACCGGTCATTTCCTTTGAGCCTTCCGTATCACTATCATCGCTGTCGTATACCTGACTTTTAGAATACTGTTCATCCCCAGAATCATCCACTTCTGAATCCGAATGATCCGGTTTTTTAGACTTTGATGAGTGTTTGGAATTGCCATTGGTAACACTGGACTGTTTAGGTGTGGATGTGGCAGCCATATGAGCTCCCGAGCCTTTATTCTTCGGTGTGCACTTTTCTTTAAGGTAAACTAAAGCCTCAGATACTACCCAGTTACTGCGAACCAAGGCATCTTGAATATCCTATACACACATACACATACATATTGAATATTGTAAATTACTACGCTGTATACATGATATGACAGCATGTAATCGCGGCAAATGACTTACCATTGTATCATATTCCGTTGATATTTTAGCCGTAGCAAGAAAACGTTCTTCCTTTTCTTTTACCGTCAATTCTACTTTAGCCTTTTTTGGCGAATTGCCGTCTGCACCGTCGCTGTCACTGTCCGCCATAACCTGTATCCGTTTCTTTCCAGGAACGCGTTCTGCATTTTCAAATAAAAACATTTCAATATTCAATTAAAATTTTCTACTTTTTTGCACATCTTACCCGTCTTTGTCTGTCCAATGGCGGCATTGGGCTTGCTGATGCGAAACTGTCGCAAATCGCTTATGCTAGACTTGGCTGTTGGTTTTGCTACGGCTGCATCGGATTCCGACATTTTTATGTTCAATTATAGGAAACGAAGTACTCGAAGCGGGATTCACAAAATAGGTATTGCATTTACTAAGGACACGAAAAACCTACACGGAATTTATCATTTAATTCTTCACTGAGGCAATTTCTTTACCGTATTTAAATTTAATTTTGGTTTTTGACTGATTTGACTCGATTGATGCGAATATGCCCGAAGATGCCGAGTGAATGCTTTTTTGTCCGACTGCTTTTTTGCTTCTTCACCGACTGCAGACATATTGAAAAACGTTCCACCTGTTACGAATGGGATGGGATAAGACAAAATGCCCGATAAAGAAGAAGTCAAAGTGGAGAACCGACAGTTACGAATGAGGTGGGATGGAGACTAAATGGGAGCTGAATTGTTTACGAATGATGTGGGATGGAAGTCTGAGAACCGATTTCCAATTAATCGATAAACAGGGTATAAACAGTGACTTCGATTACTTGAAAGCAGGGAATATTTAATAACGTAGCTACATCTGTACAGCTGTTGGTACCATTAGCTGTCAACTTACAAATTAAATTTTTTTCTTGTTGTGGCTTGTTATGTCAAAATATTAAAAAATATACATTTTCAATTTAAGTCGTTTGAAAAAAGCATATTGCAAGAACCATAGGAAAGAAATTTAAAATAATCGATTTTATGAGGAAAACCTTACTTTGTAAATTAGTGATTTCGTTTTTTTTTTTTTGGTAAATATTTGTTATTAAACAATCGTGAAAAAGCGCCTTTAACACGGTTAGTCTTATATAAATTATTTGCAGCATGTTTATTAAATTTCAGTAATTTATCAAAAATAACACCTAGATATTTAGGCTATCCTTAAACTCAATTTTGTTACCATTCACAAACAAGAACAATTTTTTACTTTCGGGAACCAAGGTATATTCACATTTGCCCAAAGCTTTACGAACACATATAGCATTACTTTTAGCCACAATTATTTTGATGCCTCAAATTGTTTATTTCATTAAGATGCGTTGAGACACGCTGCAGTGCAACCAATGGAGATTCATCATGTGCAAAGAGAAGAGAATCATCGGCATAAAGTATACCCTTTGATCCATTTACTTCATGAGGGAAATCGTAAATGGAAATGTTATATAGATGGGGAGCCAATACCGAGCCTTGCGGCACCCCACATGTCATTTTGCCCATAGGTGAGAGGGTATTCCCAATCTAAACACACAAAAACTCTATCATGAAAAAGCTCTTGAATAATTTAACCATCGCAGGTTGAAACCCAATTGAAATCAATTTATACAGAATACCATTATGGTAGGCTTTGTCGAAAGCTTTTTCAATATCAAGAGACACGGTGACTGTACATCTCGCTTCCCTTAAGTTCTGTACAATGTCATTATGAAATTTCAATAATGCATGAACTGTGGAATTTCCCTTTTTGAATCCAAACTGATACTGGGATATATAAGAGTCTTGCAAACCTAAATTCATTTTTTCCTTAAAAATATATTCAAAAAGTTTTCCCATGGTATAATAATAGAAGGTAACAGCAAGTGTTGTTGCATAACAAACGATACAACAACCACATGGAAATTTGTTGTTGTAAGTTTTACTAGTGTCAACATCATTTGACAGAAACAAACAAACAAATTATCAACAAATTATATTTATTTTGAAAATGAAATATTTTCGAATACTTCGAATACTCCAAATAAAATTTAAAAAACATGAGTGAAAACCTATCAAATTTATATTTCTATCGCTTCCACATCTTTCCTATAATTGAGCCATTGCCACTTATATGTGTAACACATATGAAAATGCAGGGAATTGCGGGTTATTCCATGAAGAAAGATTTGCTTCCTCAAACTTTCCCAGAAGGCAGATCGAGTAAATTGAATTCGGGAGCACATTTAATAAAGAACAATTTCAAATTGTATGCGTTCCCAATTTTCCTGTTGGGTGATTCGTAAGAACATAATTTGTCAAATTGAAATTGACACTAGTATTATGTTGGAATCAAATCAGCTGGGATTTGCTGTTAACTTTTATAATTGTACCATGGAGTTTTCCCAAATTTGAAAGTATTATTAATAATTAATATGAGAAAAGTTGGTTCTTTTTCAACTGCATCAAGGATATGGAAAACAATTCCACAACCACATATCCACAGGCATAATAAAAAACTGATTACGAGAAAATAACTTGTTTGGTCGCAATGTCAGGCGTCTTTCGATTACCCGTAGTAACTTTCACCGCGCCGTTCAAACAAATGTCAAGAATAACGTACGTTTTCATACGAGGAACTCATTCTCAAAGTTGCTCTTTTTGGTATACTGATCACTTTGATAAATGAACAATGCAATGTAAAATCGGCCCATACGAATTTGCAAACTGTGTTGACCTAATAAAATCATTAGACGTATTTTGATAACCACCGAACTCTCAAGGTTTATATTCGGTGAAACCATATTTTCAGAATCAGTATATACACAAATTCCGATTATTAAGAATAAAGATGTCTGCTATTACCAAAGGTCAGTATGCAAACTAATTATGTATATATAATAATATTATTATTATTTGTTTTTTTTTTTAATATTTTATCTGTGTTGTTGATGAATTATGATACTGTCTGTTTGTACTTTGGACTTCTATTGTTGACGTTATGTTTTTTTCACTTTCGTTCGAATTGGTTATGCCGGCTGAATTGTACTTTGGACGTCATATGAGTGTTGAACACAGACATAGTTACAATGACTGATAATAAATCGGGCGATTGTAATATATTCATAATCTCATTAGAAATATTGAAAAAAAAAATTAGATAAACCTTTATAATGAACAATTTCTAAATAGGACAATTACAAGCATTTAAAATTTTATGATGGTGTATTTTTGGTAATTTATATTATGCATTCCTTCATATGGAGTAAAAACATTGTACTATATTGCAATTATATACAATATTACGTATATATATATACATTTTTTCTTAAAATCTGATGTGCCAAAGATACTTTATTGTATATATATTTATATTATGTATACATACATATCGGGAAATTTTTAAAATAATATTTGCTGATAATAACTTCTACAACAACAAATATGAGTGATATCTGCGCTTAAATTGCAAAAATTCGCATAACACATTTTTAATTGTAATGTAGCGAAAGTAAATAAGACTATTTTTACAATTTATTTAAAAAAAAAACCAGCATATGCGGGTAATGTAGACCAGTAAGTCAAAAACCAGTTGTGGATCGACTGTGTTAAAATTTAATTTATTTCAATCTGGGGTAACAATGCCCCCATTTAAGGGCGTCGCCCCATTTTCGGTATTTTAATAGTCCTAGCTTCATTATTCAACCGAAGCTATTGCAGTTTCGCATATCGAGTTTTCAGAGGGTAGAATACTTCCTCGCAGACATGTTTCGAACTAATCCCCATGAAAATGTCGTGATTTATAATGGTCCACATTCACAGACCTTGAATGTTTTTTTTTTAATTAATTAATTTTTGGCTTAAAAATAATAAAAAATTAAAACTCTCCGATTGTAATTACAGCTAAACGTACATTTTTGTTCTCTATATTTGATAAAAATAGATTGTTTGACTGCTGTGTTCAAAAGTTTTCAATCAGAGCTTAACTAAATTGTCAATATTGCAATTATGTATTCAATAATACATATAATAATATAATTTACGATGTTCATTGCGTACTATAAGATTATCATCGTGGCATATTTTATTTGGTATATTTCCATATCAATCTCAATTTATTTTTTGTTTCTTCTTTGAAGAAAGAATTAATTTCTTTGTAAAAAAATGAGAAATATAGCATTGTGTCACTTTTGTATTTGAAAGAGTGTTTTTTAAATTATCTTTATTTCAATTACCTTTGAAACAACTTATTTTGAATTACCATACGAGTTTTTTTTTACTAAATTCTTATGATTTAGCATCCATATAACTCTTATCAATGTGAATTTAGTACTCAAGTTTATCTTCATATTATGCAAATTCATTTACTTCCTTTTGTTCTTTTATCTTGGTTTATAATAACATATTTACATATTTAGAATAATGCAAGGTAGGGTATAATGAGGTGAACAACAAAATGAAATTCACTATATAGTGGCTTGAGATTTTAACATTAACGAATCGTATAAGACAATGACACTTTCTTAAAGACACTTTGCAGACAATAATTTGATATCGTTGCATGACAATCTGAGCAACGGCGTAACTGAATATTGAAAACCACAATCTTGTACGCAGTCGTTGATGACTGTCATTTAATTTTAATATAACAAAAAATATTTAATATACTTAATATTATACAATATAAATATCTATATAAATATATCATAAACCATATATATATTTTGTACGAATACGGATTATACCCTATTCAGGTCCAACTAACTATTTATTTTTTTATAGGTGTTTACATTGTGGCCGCAAAGCGTACTGCTTTCGGAACGTTCGGAGGAGCTTTTAAGAACATCAATCAGACACAATTACAGACAGCAGCTGCCAAGGCTGCTATTGCTGCCTCCGGCGTAAGCCCTGACAAAATCGATACCGTTGTTATTGGTCACATTATGACGGTAAGAATAAAATAAGTACTAGAAAAACGAGTAAAATACATGATCCTTAGTCATGGATAGCTAACAGCATGGTGCAATTATACAAGATAGACGATAGCTACCTTATCATTATATTTGTTTCTTATTGTGGACCTTTTTTTAAACTAACAATTTTAACTGTCTCAATTCTCTAGTATGTACATATGTGAGAAAAATGAGGGGAATATCAAAATTTCCAGAATTGTTTTTGTCTACCGGGTGGTGAATTCATGGCTTAGTATTCTCTTGCTGTCAATATTTTAATCGCGAAATACCATCCAGAACTCAAAATATCTTTCATCTTTTTTTTTTATACTTCAAATAATAAATTTGACCGTCAATGAAAACTTCGAATTCGCCTCCCTGTTAAACTTATGAATAAACCATGGTCTCTATCTACAAATAAATACAAATAGGAAAAAAAACCATATTTGCATTGAATACAATGCAAAATTTTATATGAATTATTTTAATAATACATTTGAGTTGTGATTAAATACGTTTATTTAATACAACCTAACTTTCCAGACATCAATTTTTCTTCAATTGTTTTTAAAAATGGGTTTAACAAATATATGTTGAACTGTATGTCTCAATTTAGATTAGGCGAGGCAAGGGGAATAGAAATCGAAAAAAATTGCTCGTACCAAGCAAGGTAGATGTATTAGGTAGTCGCATCGTCCCAGTTGATTGTAACATTGAATGTCATAACAAATTGTTGTAATTTTTAATTCGCCTTAAAAATTTAATTAATTTTTGTAAATAAAATTGAAGTTTCGTGATTTTTTCTCTAATTTAACTTCGAAAGAACCAAAATATCTAAAAATGAACAGGAATTTTATATGAGGGCAACATCAAAACTGGAAAGATTTTCGTGAAAGGCGACGACAAGCTACAAGAAACAAGGCTGAACGAAAGGGCTGTGACAAATGGAATATACACTCCACTTTATGATGGAGGGAGTAAAACATTTGAAAATTGACATTATATGGAACTTCTCCACATGAACTATGAACATGAACTATATATATGGTATATGAACTATAAATATGGTCTATTACAAAAATAGAGAGAAAATAAGGATTTTGATTCATCACCATTTGTGACATCTTTGAACTTTATGCGGCCTCATAGCGATCGGCCCGATATTGGAGTGTGTGTAAATACCACTTCTGTGTACACACAATTCAAAGTTAGCGATTTTTCAAATAAAATCTATTTGACGCCCTTAATATTGAACGATTATTATTAAAACAGTTATATTAATTCGTAGACCAGATCCCCATCTCCGTAATTTCCTGGGTTTGGGTCATAATTGTGGCTTCTAAATATAAACCGGACACTAACAAAACCAATAGAAGTAGACGTATGGCAGAACCGTATATACATACAAAATTTCCAAAATTCATCAAGGGAAATTATTGAAAGATACCGACACATACTGAATCGTTTATTCAAAATAGTGTTATGTTGTGTTTTCAGAAGATAATTTTTTCAATCACCATTTGATTCGGATCATGATAATCAGATTACAAATTATAATGGACAGACAGATGATAAATGATATACAAAAATTTGAGTCTAGGAGTAGTGCAGCTACAAACTCTTGAGGCAACACATAGTTTTAGCATAGATGTGTAGGGTATTAAAAAATTGTGTTCTGATTTTGACACATTATGTTACCAAAATAATTGATTTGTTGTAGTAATTCGCCGATGCGACTACCTAATATGTGTGCCTTGGTACCAAGGTAGATATACAAGCATGGTACAATTATAAAAGGTAACAGCAAATCCCAGCTGATTTGATTCCAACGTAATACTAGTGTCATTATGAATTTGACAAATTATGTTTTTAAAAATCACCCAACAGGAAAATTGGGAACGCATACAATTTGAAATTGCTCTTTATTAAATGTGCTCCTGTATTCAATTTACTCAATCTGCAAATTAAATACAACCAATCAGAATTAAGCATTTTGAAAAAAGAAAAATATTTGTTTACTTTTTTAAAATTGAAAATTTTTAAAATAAGTTGTGTAAATATCTGATTTTATACAAGATTTAAGATTTTCTTTACGTAGTTTTGTCATGCCCTCACATGAAATTTTTGAAAACAATGTATAAAGAAGACAAAAAGGTCATATCGAACCAAATCTTTTTTTTCGATCCCAAGGTCTTATATTTGATTCCATGGTCTTCTTAAAGAAATACCATCTCCATAGCCGACCGCTATGCCTATCATTTTATACCCTTCACCACACTGTGGTACAGGGTATTATGTCTTTCTGCATATGTTTGTAACAGGGAAAAGGAAACGAGATAGACACATGGTTCCTTTTGAGAATATGCATAGAATCACTTTCTGAGTCGATTTATGCATGTCCGTCCGTCTGTAGATGTTAAATTGTAAAAACAAGAACAGGTCGCATTTATGATCCGATTTGGATGAAATTTGGCACAAGTCGCTTATTAGGCCCAAGGACGAACCCTATTGAAATTGGGAAAAATCGGTTCAGATTTATATATAGCACCATATATATTTTCGTTAGGTTTCGTTTTGCACAGAGTACTGAATTAGGTACAGAGTTATGTGTGCCAAGTTTCGAGAAAATCGGTTCAGATTTGGATATAGCTCCCATATATCGCTTCGTCCGATTTAAGGTAGATGGTGCACCAAAGTCCACATATATCATTCGATTTGCATGAAATTTGGCATAGAGTACTGAATTAGGTGCAGAATGATGTGTGCCTAGTTTCTAGAAAATCGGTTCCGATTTAGATATAGCTCCCATATATAATTTCGTCCTATTTAAGGTAAATGGTGCACCAAAGTCCCTATATATCATTCGATTTGCACGAAATTTGGAATAGGGTATTGAATTAGATCCAGAATGATGTGTGCTAAGTTTCGTGAAGATCGGTTCAGATTTATATATAGCTCCCACATATAGTTTTGTCCGATTTTATGTATATGGTACACCAAAGTCCCTATATACCTTTCGATTTGCATGAAATTTGGCACAGCGTGTACACTTCTGTGTACACACAATTCAAAGTTAGCGATTTTTCAAATAAAATCTATTTGACGCCCTTAATATTGAACGATTATTATTAAAACAGTTATATTAATTCGTAGACCAGATCCCCATCTCCGTAATTTCCTGGGTTTGGGTCATAATTGTGGCTTCTAAATATAAACCGGACACTAACAAAACCAATAGAAGTAGACGTATGGCAGAACCGTATATACATACAAAATTTCCAAAATTCATCAAGGGAAATTATTGAAAGATACCGACACATACTGAATCGTTTATTCAAAATAGTGTTATGTTGTGTTTTCAGAAGATAATTTTTTCAATCACCATTTGATTCGGATCATGATAATCAGATTACAAATTATAATGGACAGACAGATGATAAATGATATACAAAAATTTGAGTCTAGGAGTAGTGCAGCTACAAACTCTTGAGGCAACACATAGTTTTAGCATAGATGTGTAGGGTATTAAAAAATTGTGTTCTGATTTTGACACATTATGTTACCAAAATAATTGATTTGTTGTAGTAATTCGCCGATGCGACTACCTAATATGTGTGCCTTGGTACCAAGGTAGATATACAAGCATGGTACAATTATAAAAGGTAACAGCAAATCCCAGCTGATTTGATTCCAACGTAATACTAGTGTCATTATGAATTTGACAAATTATGTTTTTAAAAATCACCCAACAGGAAAATTGGGAACGCATACAATTTGAAATTGCTCTTTATTAAATGTGCTCCTGTATTCAATTTACTCAATCTGCAAATTAAATACAACCAATCAGAATTAAGCATTTTGAAAAAAGAAAAATATTTGTTTACTTTTTTAAAATTGAAAATTTTTAAAATATGTTGTGTAAATATCTGATTTTATACAAGATTTAAGATTTTCTTTACGTAGTTTTGTCATGCCCTCACATGAAATTTTTGAAAACAATGTATAAAGAAGACAAAAAGGTCATATCGAACCAAATCTTTTTTTCGATCCCAAGGTCTTATATTTGATTCCATGGTCTTCTTAAAGAAATACCATCTCCATAGCCGACCGCTATGCCTATCATTTTATACCCTTCACCACACTGTGGTACAGGGTATTATGTCTTTCTGCATATGTTTGTAACAGGGAAAAGGAAACGAGATAGACACATGGTTCCTTTTGAGAATATGCATAGAATCACTTTCTTAGTCGATTTATGCATGTCCGTCCGTCTGTAGATGTTAAATTGTAAAAACAAGAACAGGTCGCATTTATGATCCGATTTGGATGAAATTTGGCACAAGTCGCTTATTAGGCCCAAGGACGAACCCTATTGAAATTGGGAAAAATCGGTTCAGATTTATATATAGCACCATATATATTTTCGTTAGGTTTCGTTTTGCACAGAGTACTGAATTAGGTACAGAGTTATGTGTGCCAAGTTTCGAGAAAATCGGTTCAGATTTGGATATAGCTCCCATATATCGCTTCGTCCGATTTAAGGTAGATGGTGCACCAAAGTCCACATATATCATTCGATTTGCATGAAATTTGGCATAGAGTACTGAATTAGGTGCAGAATGATGTGTGCCTAGTTTCTAGAAAATCGGTTCCGATTTAGATATAGCTCCCATATATAATTTCGTCCTATTTAAGGTAAATGGTGCACCAAAGTCCCTATATATCATTCGATTTGCACGAAATTTGGAATAGGGTATTGAATTAGATCCAGAATGATGTGTGCTAAGTTTCGTGAGGATCGGTTCAGATTTATATATAGCTCCCACATATAGTTTTGTCCGATTTTATGTATATGGTACACCAAAGTCCCTATATACCTTTCGATTTGCATGAAATTTGGCACAGCGTACTAAATTAAGTCTAGAATGACGTGTGCTAAGTTTCGTGAAAAGCGGTCCAGATTTAGATATAACTGCCATTAAGGTAAATAGGGCACCAAAGCCCCTATATATCTTTCGATTTGCACGAAATTGGGCATAAAGTACTAAATTAGGTCACGAATGGCGTGTGCCAAGTTTCAAGAAAATCGGGTCAGATTTATATATAGCTCCAAAATATATTTTTGTCCGATTTTAGGTAAATGGGTTTCCAAAGTCCCTATATATCTTTCGATTTGTGCGAAATTTGGCATAGGGCACTGAATTGGGTCCAGAATGGTGTGTGCTAAGTTTCGTGAAAATCAGTTCAGATTTAGATAAAGCTCCAATATATATTTTCGTCCAATTTAATGTTCACTAAAGAACAAAAGATTGGACGACCCGCACACAATTTTGGAAAAGGATTGAAGTTACTATAATCATTCTTGTGTCAAGTTTTCTTGAAATTGGTTCAGATTTACATATAGTTACATATAGGAACTATATGTAACTATATATGCCCGATTTTAAGTAAATGGTGTACTAAAGACCCATAGCTAGGCCGATTGGCAAAACTTACTGAAATTAATATAAATTAATCTCGGGTAAGTTTCCTTGAAATCGGTTCAGATTAAGATATAGCATAGCTTCCATATATAATTTCGACCTATTTATGTTGATTGTAAACCAAATAATCAACGGGTGCTTGATTGATATTACATTTTAAACAGTGAACATATATATAGAGATCGCATTTTTATTTTCGTTCAATTTTGTGTCAATGTCCTTCGAAAAGACGACATTTGTAAAGATACATATGTAGAATATCCCCAAAGTGGTGAAGGGTATCATATTGTCGGCTCAGTCCGACTTTACTACTTTCCTTACTGGTTTATTCTTTAGTCCAAATTTAGATTAGGCAAGTTTACTTGCGGCAAGTCTTTGTTTGTAGGAAAGAGGGGCAAGAGGTATAGAAATGAAAAAAAATTGCTCGTACGACAATTTTCTGGCAATTCGTTTTGTGTATTTCGTATTTGTTGACATTTTATATATATTTAAATGTGAAAAAACAACAAATAAAAAAAATTTTGGAAACCGAATTGCCTTGTATAGACGCATGGAGCAAGTTCAAAAGAGAACGATAAAAATTGCCGCAAGTAAACTCGCCTAATATAAATCAGGACTTATTTTCAAATATATTTCAATTTTTAAATTTTTGTTTGGAAATGGGTTTGAAAAAAATCAAAAACAAATTGTTATGACATATAATGTTACCATCAGCTGGTTTGATACGGTTACCTTCTTAATATACCTTGGCTCGTACCGACAATTTTCTGCCAATTTGAATATTTTCGAACATAAAAAAACATGCACAAAATATCAAATATATATATATATATAGTTTTGAAATCGAAATGCCTTGTATAGACGCATGAAGCAATTTCAAAAGAGAACGATAAAAATTGCCACAAGTAAACTCGCCTAATCTAAATCAGGACTATTTTTCCTTCCCTGTTTTATTGTACCACGCGGCTATCGCCTGATTTACAACTTCAAAGCCATATGTAAAAGTGTTTGTATTTACGAAGTAAATGAAATTTATTTTACTTGACAGTCGTCTTCTACCGATGGTACATTCTTGCCCCGTCATGTCAGTCTTTCTTGTGGTGTTCCAATTGAAAAGCCCGCTCTTGGTGTCAATCGACTTTGCGGAAGCGGTTTCCAATCTATTGTTAACGGTGCTCAGGATATAATTATGGGTAGTGCTAAGATTGCACTTACTGGTGGTGTTGAAAACATGTCTCAAGCTCCCTTCATTGCGCGTAATATGCGCTTTGGAACAACTCTAGGTGCCAACTACAATCTAGAAGACGCCTTGTGGTCTGGTCTTACCGATACCTACTGCAAATTACCTATGGCCCTTACTGCTGAGAACTTAGCAGATCAGTATAAAATTTCACGTGAGCGTGTTGATGAATTCTCGTTGCGCTCGCAGAAAAATTGGGAAAAGGGACAGAAAGAAGGTGCATTCAAAGCTGAAATTACGCCTTTCAAATTAAAGGTAAAGGGTAAGGAGTTCGATTTTGCTGTCGATGAACATCCCAGACCTCAAACTACATTAGAGGGCTTGGCCAAATTGCCATCATTGTTTAAGAAGAACGGAGTTGTTACTGCTGGAACAGCTTCTGTAAGTATTTACGAGTCGTAGAAGACACTATTCATTTCCAAACTAATGTTTATTATCTGTTAATATAGGGTATCTGCGACGGCGCTTCAGCAGTAATATTGGCTTCTGAGGAAGCTCTCAAGGAATACAACTTAAAACCGTTGGCTCGTTTGGTTGCTTATTCGTATGTTGGTTGTCCACCAGAAATTATGGGCATTGGTCCAGTTTCCGCTATTAACAACGTTTTAAAATTGACTGGCAAAAAAATTGATGACATCGATCTAATTGAAGTAAGAATTAGTAGTTTATTTGATGATTATTTTTAACTATGACACATGTTTACAGATCAACGAAGCTTTTGCTGCCCAAACTTTGGCTTGTGCTGATGCTCTTGGTTTGGATATGAACAAATTGAATGTTAATGGCGGCGCCATTGCATTGGGACATCCATTGGGTGCCAGTGGCAACCGTATTATGGGTCATTTGGCCCATGAGATGCAGTAAGTGTTAATTTATTTCATTATGTGCTCGAATGAGTTCTATTGTAATTTATTTTTTTCAGACGCAAAAATCTTAAATATTCGATTGGATCTGCTTGCATTGGAGGAGGTCAAGGAATTGCTCTATTAATTGAGTCTTGTTAAAAATTCCAAACACGAAATTAAGCTAATTTGTTGCATTTATTTTTACGTTAGACACGTAAAATTCACATTAGAAGACTAAGCTAAAAAATATAATGTATAATTTGTTGTAAAGTTTTATTAAAAATATATTTAATTTTTTTAACCGTGTAAATATTTTTGCAATTCTTTATTCATTAATATCACAGTATAATAATACCGTATAATACCGTTAATTCGTATCCCCGCTTATTCGTAACAAAATCACCGGATTATAAATGGGTACAGTCGAATTCGGATAAGCGAACACCGGTTTATCGAAAAAATCTGTTAATTGCAACTAAAAGTAAATAACTAAAATAAATCCTCTGAAAACAAAAGCAATGATTTTTCAGCCGAGGAATCAAAGCTTATCTTGTCTCAGTATTAAAATTGGTACAGCATTTATTGAAACTGTTAATACTATGAAAATTCTTGGAGTATATATTGATTCTTATCTTAATTTCAGTTGTCATATTAATGATATTTCTAGAAAAGTTTGTCGTATTTTAAGGAGACTTTATAGCCTTAAGGCGTATACACCACCTGTTAGGAAAAGACTTGCTTTTTCTTTATTAATGTCTTTGGTGAATTATAGAATTGAAGTTTTTTCTGTTACCTGGACATACAACTTAAATGGAATAGAACGGATTATTCGCAAAATTGTAAGATAAGTTTTTCAAATAAGTGTATATAACCACGTTCGTACATTTGAATGTATTGAAATATTTCTTGGATGCAGTTTTTATGATGCAGTTTTTATGAAATCTTTTACATTTTTATAAACTTATTAAATTCCAACAACCTAGGTTATTAGTTAATCAGTTTTCATTTATACATTCAACGCGGAACGTACAAATCGACGTGCCTTTAATTAGAACTTCCATATTTGAACATTCTTTTCTGGTGCGTGTTTACAGAGTTTGGAATTATTTTCCAAATTTCTTGAAAGTGTTTTCATATTCTTACCACACTTTTAAGAAAAAGTTGAAGGACTATTTTCGGCTGAACATTTAATTCTTAAATTTTTGTTGTAAACTTTTCCTTTTGCTACTGGACTCTAATATTTATCTCTTATACACTCATACAATTCTCAATATTCATATGGCTGGGAAGCCGTAATATTTAATTTTTCTTTTGAAACTACGCTAAATTCTATTACTTGAATTTTTGTTATATTATTTACTACCATAGTATTAGCATTTTATAATAATCTACAATACATGAATAATTGGCTAGGAAGCTTTCTGTGTATTGAATTTTTGAAATAAATAAAATTGTAAACTAATACTTCGGGTGAATTTTCAAACATTTTACTTCGCTTAAAAGGAAAAGCGGTTAATTGAAAATCTGTATAAGAGGAAGACTTTTGTGTTGCAAAAAGTGAAATATATATGAAACATGCACCGTTTAAGAGAAAAATATCACTTTTGTAAGGGCGACGAAATTCATTACAATTTTTACAGAATTATGTTGAACATTTTTCCAACCATCCAAGCAAATGTGTACGAAAAAAAGTTCCTACGCAATTCATTTTATAATATGATTTATAAATTTCACGATTTTTTCAGATATTGATTGAAAACTTTGTTTAATCGCAATGAGTTTCGCTTATCCGAAGTTCTTTTAGTTGAAAATCCAGCTTAAGAGAAAAATATTTTCTGAAATTAAGCGTTTTCGCTTAACCGAATTCGACTGTACATCATTCTTGTAATTTTATTGATTTCGCCAACAATGTGTGGAATGTGGCTCTTAAATTTTTTTTCGAGTATCAAGAATTACACCAAGATATTTTACATTATTCTTCCAAAGGATATCCTGATTGTGGAAATGTATAGGTCGTTGAGGTATAAACAGGGTTTAAACGCAGCATCAAAAATATTAGCAAACGGATAGCTTTTTTAGTTTGTATTTAGCATCCGTGCTAAGCACGTATTGCACATGCGAACATTTTTTGTTATGACTAATCGGCAGTACGACTACACCAAGGTATATTTAATAAGGTAGCCGCATCGGCCCAGCTGTTGGTGCAAATAAATGTCAAAAATGTTGTTGTAATGTTGAACCAAAAAATTAAGAAAACAAAATTATAAATGAAAATCTCCGAATTTTGAAGAGCTTGTTTGGCAATACTTTTTTTAACATTTTCTACAAGAATTTATGTAAAAAAATCTTGTCAATCTCTTTGTTTTGGCAAAATGTTTTTGACATATCAAAATACAACAAGCGATGTTTGTTGTAGAAATTCGCCGATGCGGCTACCTTGTATATCTACCTTGTACCCTACCTTGTATAATTGTACCACAATACAAAGTTTGCATATGTTTGTTTGTTGCCAACGCAGAAATTAGAAAAAGGCATCTCATTTTGTGTGTTTTTATTTAATTTAAACTTTTTAAATCATAATCAAAAACTGTCAATAATAGTACTAAACGACAAGTACATTAGAACTTTTTACAGGGGTTAACCTTCTTTATGAGGATTTATTTGACATATATTCAAAGGAATTGAAAATTGAAACCCACTGGGTTAACGAAATCCGGTTAAATGTAAACGTACTACTAAAAACAAAATAATATATTAAATTAAACTCTTTAGCAAGTATCACTAATTGTCTTTGTTCGAAAAATTTAAATTATCATAATCGCGATTTTTAATTCTCTCATATAATTTATAAAATTTCAATGGGCAACACTGAACTCGAAAAATGCTCGGGTTTTGTTTGCTAAAAATCTTGCTAAGCAGCCACAATCAAGGTGCTTAGTATTCATTGTAAGCTTTGGTTGTTAGTCTCGTTGTGAATTATGTTGTAGTTGTTCAATGCTATTTTGTAGCTGCTGACAATATCATGAAGCTTAAGTTTTGCTTGCTAATACGGCATTTACATTAAAACTTTTTACCGGGTTAACCTACTTTATGAGGATTTATTTGGCATATATTCAAAGGAATTGAAAATTTAAACCCACTGGGTTAACCAAATCTGGTTTAATGTAAACGACCTTTAACATTTCTTGTAATATGTGCTATTTGTTGCAGTTGTGCTTGGTTGTGCTGTATATTTTGAGGATGAATTTAGAGCAGTTGTGTAATTTTCGTGTTTTTGCTGTTTTATTTTAAACCATGGGTATAAAGCGTGCGCAACGTTTCCTTTTGAAATATATTATTTTAATTATTTCTATTGGAAAGTTTAGCTTAAACAGCTTGTAAATGAGGCCATTATGTGGAGGAATAATGTTGTGCCAGTCAATAAATTGAAGAATTGTTTCTTTTGTTATTTTCTCATACAGTTTACTTAGGGAAGAAAGTAAGCTAATTGGTCTAAAATCCGAAGTCGAATCTCCAGGTTTCTTTGCATTTTGTATTGTTATAATTTTCGAAAATTTTCATATATTAGGAAAATAACATAGGCTTAAGCAGGAATTAAGGATGAGTGATAGATATTTTACTCCGTTAAGAGGGAGGTCATGGCATAATTACACAAGGTAGTCTCATGCAGACATATTATTCCATTTTTTTCATAATTTTACTTTTGACAACTTTCAGCTTTCAAAATTTGTATGTCGAAATGTACGCACATATGTGTTAGACATATAAGTGGCAATGGCTCAATTATAGGAAAGAATAGAAATATAAATTTTATCGATTTTATTTATTTATTTTATTTATTGAAATTCATTCCTTAACACTAAAGCCTCCAAGGCCAATAAATAATGTTAACAATATATCTTATATCATCTAAGTAGAACTAAAAACTGAAAATAAAGTAATAATTAAAACAGCCATAACTAAAAAGAAAATAGTAAGTGATGACCGTGTTAAACAACAAAATACAAATTGAGCAAATCAAAAACATTCAAAGTGCAGAACATCTCATGCGATAATATATTAAAAGTATAGTATCAGATAAAACACATTTAATTATGAAAATGAAAAAAGGGTAAAAAGCAAATAAGAATTGTAACATCTCACAGTCAACAAAAGTAACACAAAAGTTTCAGCCGAAATGCATTGTTGGATTGAGAAAATTGTCTCAATTCAACTGGTAAAAAGTTCCATAACCTTGCAACGCGTATTAAAAATGACTTTTCAAATATGCTATTATAAATTCTGGGTATAAAAATCTGTGTATTCCTTGAGGACATACAAAATCTGAACATATTAGCTAATATAACAGGAATACCACTCTTAACTATCCTATAAAAAGTACATAAAATCCTGGAGGAAATAAAAACATCAAAGTCAACTGTTGGGGTTTTAACATAACCCGAAATATGGTCTCTACTTCTAATACCATAAACATAACGGACAATAGAATTTACAATACGCTTAACTCTCGATAAATTCCGATCAGTAGTGCCAGATGTAACCTCCAGACCATAATAAACATGAGGCATCAGTAGTGCATAAGCCAACCTCTTTTTAACATACCACGGTAGAAATAAATTAGTAGCGTACAATTTACGAATAACACCAAACACTTTTCTCTGAACAAAATCAATGTGGCATTCAAATGTAAGTTTATCATCAATATAAATACCCAACATTTTATGAGAGCTTACAAAAGTGATTTGATTATGATCAAGATAAATATTAAGATCATGGGTAAAAGTTCCAAATCTCATAGCCTTTGTCTTTAAAGGATTCAATCTCAATGCATTATCCAAAGACCATTGACCGAACGACGATAGACAAGAATTTATATCACTTTCAAGTGAAGAAGGGGACAGTCGATTATCAGAAAAGACGAGAAAGACATCATCAGTAAATAAAAGTGGCATACAATTGAAACTAGACAAACAATCAGTAATACTATTAACATATAACACAAAAAGCAAGGGACCAAGCACAGAACCCTGTGGCACACCACATGTAAGAGCAAGCGTCCTAGAAGAAATGCCATTATGAAAAACATATTGAGATCTATCACATAAGTAAGACAAAATAAGTTTACAAGCCGTAGGCGAAAAGTTAAAATCATTCTTCAGTTT